TATATGCTGCAAGAACTTGAAGGTTAGTGTGCTTATAGCACTTGAAATAGTAATACATATGTGACATTGTACCCCATAATGCTTTATGGGAATATGACATAACTGAAATATGTTTTATGCTACATGTGCCATGTAACATATCTCTGTAAAGATTATAGTCTACTGAGTTCCTTACCAGCCAAGCCACATTTCTGGGAAAGCTCAGATGTGGACTAGCATCTCCAAGTTTATTGTTGGCTTAAGGGCTTCTTGGCTGGGCACTTCATAGATTCATAGATATTTAGGCCAGAAGGGACCATTATGATCATCTAGTCTGACCTCCTGCACAATGCAGGCCACAGAATTTCACCCACCACTCCTAAAAAAGACCTCGCACCTATATCTGTGCTATTGAAGTCCTCAAATTGTAGTTTGAAGACCTCAAGGAGCAGAGAATCCTCCAGCAAGTGACCCGTGCCCCATGCTACAGAGGAAGGCGAAAAACCTCCAGGGCCTTCCAATCTGCCCTGGAGGAAAATTCCTTCCCGACCCCAAATATGGCGATCAGCTAAACCCTGAGCATATGGGCAAGATTCATCAGCCAGATACTACAGAAAATTCTTTCCCGGGTAACTTGGATCTTACCCCATCTAAAAACCCATCACAGGCCATTGGGCCTATTTACCATGAACATTTAATTACCAAAACCATGTTATCCCATCATACCATCTCCTCCATAAACTTATCGAGTTTAATCTTAAAGCAAGATAGATCTTTTGCCCCCACTACTTCCCTCGGAAGGCTATTCCAAAACTTCACTCCTCTGATGGTTAGAAACCTTCGTCTAATTTCTAATCTAAATTTCCTAGTGGCCAGTTTATATCCATTTGTTCTTGTGTCCACATTGGTACTGAGTTTAAATAATTCCTCTCCCTCTCTGGTATTTATCCCTCTGATATATTTATAGAGAGCAATCATATCTCCCCTCAACCTTCTTTTAGTTAGGCTAAACAAGCCAAGCTCCCTGAGTCTCCTTTCATAAGACAAGTTTTCCATTCCTCGGATCATCCCAATAGCCCTTCTCTGTACCTGTTCCAGTTTGAATTCATCCTTCTTAAACATGGGAGACCAGAACTGCACACAGTATTCCAGGTGAGGTCTCACCAGTGCCTTATATAACGGTACTAAAACCTCCTTATCCCTACTGGAAATACCTCTCCTGATGCATCCCAAGATGACATTAGCTTTCACAGCCATATCACATTGGCAGCTCATAGTCATCCTATGATCAACCAATACTCCAAGGTCCTTTTCCTCCTCCGTTACTTCTAGTTGATGCGTCCCTAGCTTATAACTAAAATTCTTGTTATTAATCCCTAAATGCATGACCTTACACTTCTCACTATTAAATTTCATCCTATTCCTATTACTCCAGTTTACAAGGTCATCCAGATCCTCCTGTAGGGTATCCCTGTCCTTCTCTAAATTAGCAATACCTCCCAGCTTTGTATCATCTGCAAACTTTATTAGCACACTCCCACTTTTTGTGCCCAGGTCAGTAATAAAAGACTAAATAAGATTGGTCCCAAAACTGATCCTTGAGGAACTCCACTGGTAACCTCCCTCCAACTTGACGTTCACCTTTCAGTAGGACCCGTTGTAGTCTCCCCTTTAACCAATTCCCTATCCACCTTTCAATTTTCCTATTGATGCCCATCTTATCCAATTTAACTAATAATTCCCCATGTGGCACAGTATCAAACGCCTTACTAAAATCTAAGTAAATTAGATCCACTGCATTTCTTTATCTAAAAAATCTGTTACTCTCTCAAAGAAGGAGATCAGGTTGGTTTGGCACGATCTACCTTTTGTAAAACCATGTTGTATTTTGTCCCATTTACCATTGACTTCAATGTCCTTAACTACCTTCTCCTTCAAAATTTTTTCCAAGACCTTGCATACTACAGATGTCAAACTAACAGGCCTATAATTACTTGGATCACTTTTTTTCCCTTTCTTAAAAATAGGAACTATGTTAGCAATTCTCCAATCATACGGTACAACCCCTGAGTTTACAGATTCATTAAAAATTCTTGCTAATGGGCTTGCAATTTCTTGTGCCAATTCTTTTAATATTCTTGGATGAAGATATCTGGGCCCCCGATTTAGTCCCATTAAGCTGTTTGAGTTTCGCTTCTACCTCAGATATGGTGATGTCTACCTCCATATCCTCATTCCCATTTATCATGCTACCATTATCCCTAAGATCCTCTTTGTCTTATTAAAGACTGAGGCAAAGTATTTGTTTAGATATTGGGCCTGCTAGATTATCCTTGACCTCCACTCCATCCTCAGTTTTTAGGGTCCCACTTCTTCTTTCTTTGTTTTCTTCCTATTTATATGACTATAGAACCTTTTACTATTGGTTTTAATTCCCTTTGCAAGGTCCAACTCTACTTGACTTTTAGCCTGTCTCACTTTATCCCTACATATTCTGACCTCAATAAGGTAGCTTTCCTTACTGATCCCTCCCTTCTTCCACTCCCTATATGCTTTCTGCTTTTTCTTAATTACCTCTCTAAGATGCTTGCTCATCCAGCTTGGTCTACAACTCCTGCCTGAATTTTTCCCCTTTCTTGGGATGCAGGCTTCCGATAGCTTCTGCAGCTTTAATTTAAAATAATCCCAGGCCTCCTCTACCTTTAAACCCACTTACTGAGAATAGTCTTTTCGCAGGAAGCTGACCAACTGCTTCACTAAAACCTACTTAGAATCAGACAAGTATACCACCAATATTCGTAACTTCAAATACAAAAATGATATATGCATACAAATAGGAAGAATAGATTCAGTAGACCATAACCTTTACAGAGATATGTTACATGGCACATGTAGCATAAAACATATTCCAGTTATGTCATATTCCCATAAAGCATTATGGGGTACAACGTCACAAGATATTTACCTGGTTCTTTGACTCATTCATCATAATCACTAACAAGGTTCCTCAGGACTGTTACACCTATGCAAGTCCAAAAGACACAGTGGCTCAGCCTGAGTTAAAACACTATCTTTTGACATTAATGTCCTTGCCAACTATTTCTACTGTCTTCGTCTGCTAAGATTAATCACTGAAGTATTGATAGCAGGCCCATCATCTGAAAACCCTCCAATTCTTTGAATATCAGACAAGTTTCAGATGTGTGGAAGCATATGTGCATATGGTGTGGCAACAGCAGTGACCTTGATGTGACCTTGGTCAAAGATATCCTGCTGGTCAGAGGTCAGGCAACACTGCTAATTCTGCCAGGATTTTTTAAAGGATGTATTACCATCAACATCCAGTGTTCTTGACTTATTTTTTGGATCTGGTAGTGAAAGAAGAAATCACATTAGAGTGGTTCTGTTCTTTCTTGTCATCGATCCCAGAGAGTACTGATGAGAGAGTGCTGTGCCTGTCTGAGTGCTCTCAGCTGGACGACCCCACATGAGCTTAATATTATTACCCCACTTGATCAACATAGAAAGCTATTAGGGGAAACGGAGAGGTAATAAGAGGCACAGAGACCTTGACTGAGACATTTACTTGCTATCCCATTATCTGGCAGAGATCATCACCAGCATGAAAGCTAACAGGCTTAAACAGAGTCTAGACAAGACTGAGACAATGCTCACTGACAGGAAGCAGCACACAGAGGAAAATGATGAAGTCTATGAGCAATCCCATAAATTACTGCATTTGCTTGCCATTTGTCAAAGTGGTCTGCAATCTCATATCTCAGTTGTCAGAAATGTCTTTTTCCATCTTGGGGTAGCCAAAAGTCTGTTTTTTTATTGCTGGTGCAGACTTCACTATGTTCCTACATGCCTTTGATACTCTAGAATAGTGCTTCAATGCACCCTATCCATGTCCAACCACAGGTGGAACACAAACTCCAGCGAGTGAAGAATGGAGCTTTCTGCCATCTGATAAAGGCGACTAGCAGGGGCACATATATTATAAGGGTGCTCCACACTACACAATGGGTATTAGAAAATTTCTGGGTAAAATGCAAGGTGTTGGTTAACATCTACAAAACCCTAACTGGCCAAGGCCTAACTACGTCAAGACCTCTCTAAGTAATCACACAAGCTGTGTTTGCCCAAAACACTTCAGATAAATTATGACAGGGGTGAGGTTCAAAGAAGCCAGCTTGTTGGCAGCATAGGCCCACACCTTCAGAATTCATTGCCACCAGAAGTTAGACTAAACCCAAGTCTGACTATATTCATGAAACTATGGTATACATGCCTTTGTTTAAGGGTTTTCCATAATTGCTGGTTCTCTTCTCTTGTCATTTAATCTACTGATGAGGTCTTACTCACATCTCTTTTAAGTCCTGAAGTGGGGTGGGGGTGGTTCCACTCGGTATTTAGCTTCCTACCCATGGGTAATGTTTTTGCCTTAATCTAAGCTCTGTTCCAGATATTTTGGTGGTGAATGCAGTATAAATGCTTGAAATACATAAAATAAGTAAATAACTTTCTACACCTCTCATTTCCTTGACCCTTTAAAATATTTTTTTCCTAAACTGAGCAAGCACATTCATGGCCATGAAGGGAAGATTTCTCAATATTGATTAATGTATGTAACAATGTATGCTGACTGCATATATCAGTGAACATCAAGATTCATTGCCTCCTGAACTATATATTGACCTCTGCTTCACCTCAGTCTATTTTTAGTTTACAGGGCAATAAATTTTGATGTTCAAATCAACTAGTCAATATCTGTTTCCTATTACATAGGGCATAAAGAATATTAAAAGTCTTCAGAAATTAAATACTGGACTAGAAAATACAAGCATTTTTCTAAATCAAAATGGGAAAAAAAGATCAGCTCCAATGCAATTTTGTTTATGCTATTGTCCCCTAATGAAACTCACAGGAATAGGTCCAGGATCATGTAATAACATATTTAACTTTTACTTTTAAGACTATGTGGTAATATCAAGTTTGAATAATCGCTTCTGCAACCTGACCTGCCAGCATCTGTCTCTTTGAAGATTCCATCTTGATTGGGACATAGTTCACAGCTAGGAGATACCCCACATTTGCATGCATCACAAAACCAAGGTTCAGTGGAGTTTTCTGAAGCTGAGCTCATAATAGAATCACTCTCTCCGTCAACACCATAGCAACCTACAAACAGAGAAAATAAAGAGCAATTGAATACAAAAGGAGGTACGATTATTTCAAAACAGACTTCAAGGGACAGATTTTCAACTCAGTCCTAAACAGGGTTTATGCAGGCACAAATAACCGCAGGCACAACTTTGCACCCACACGAAAGCGAGTATCTGAAAAATCTAGTCCTTGAAGGTGACCTGCAGAGGATATTTTTTAAATTGGGCTTTTGATTTTTACTTCTCCAATATATAAAGAAGACCTGAAAAGTGTTTGTTTATATGTAAAAACATATTTTATCTGTATGATTTGTATGGTTTTTACCACAAAAATACCAAGACTGTCCAGTCTGGTCTGCCCTAATTTGGTAAGAAGATTTTAAGGGTAAACTTTAACATCGTAACTGCAGGGATAGGAGTGTTGAATCTTTAATAAAGGCTTCCATTATTCAAAATGCTAGTCAGTAAAAATTAAATTGGCATGAGAAGGGATTTCAAACAGCAATTAAAAATCCTCTCACTTTTTTAACTCATTATGTCATGATTACATTAGTTCTCCAGTCAGTTTACAGTCTCCCTGACAGGAACTGACCTATTAATGTAAAAATAAAACAATTAAAAACTTTTCAGACCTTCTTTTTTGTACACCATAAATAAAAAAGAGCACAAGCTTATTTTTTCCCCTTTCCAGGTCACCTTTAAAATGAAAATGTAGAACATGAATAAATGCATCAAAGCAAAAACAAAATTCTAAATAAGTAAATGTAAGTTTATAAAGATGTCAAAATATTTACAAACAGTACTTATACAGACATTTCAAATTGGAGTTCAAGAGTATTTTTACTAGCATTATTGGGAGTTCCCCTTCCCATTAGCATCCAGGATACAAAAGAAGGCATGTTCTGTTGTCCAAAGAACATTCCAAAGGCCGGGGGCGAGGGGAAGAGATTGGAACAAACAAGTAAAATGGCCAAGTGGTGACTGCCCACACCTTAAAACAAGTTTTTTTTTTTAATCTGAAGTATTCTACACACAAGCACCCCACACCACTGCAAAACAGTCAGCTGTTAGTTGTAATGGGAGAGGTGGGAGACTTGAAAATGAAAGGAAAATAGCCTTATGAACCAACTCAGGAAAAGTGTTCAAGTATAGAGAGCAGTATGGAAGGAGTAGTGGACAAATGACATGTCAAGGTGGGCATAAGTGGCAGAGGAAGGAGAGAAAGAGTGGGGGAGAAGGTGGGGTAACATGAAAAGAAATATGAATGGATAAGTTATGAGAGCCAGTGGTTTTCTCGGACTTTTCTAATATAATTTTCCACGAGACACTACAAAACTGAAAATTGGATGCAGAATTTGTTACTGCACACTAAAAATAGTAAACGTCCTATTTGATAAATACACTGAGATCAGATACACAGAACACTGGCTTTTAATTTACCGCTCCAATTTAAAATTTAAAATAGATTATGCTCTTTATTAACACTTTATCAAAAATAGCCAGCAAAATTTGAGAGCTGCAAAATAGTATATTTTATCCATCAAACAGAAGTTTAAACAACACTGCAGCCATACAAATGGTCACCGATAACAGCAATGTGCTGTATAAATAAATCAAGGTTTTAAAAACAAACCTACAGTGCAACGGATCTGGCAATTTTCTGCAATATATTTGAGAAATCTTATTGTACTAAGTTTATGTATCATTGTGGGCCAGTGATTATATGTAACTCCCTGGGGGAGAGTGAATACTGCCCTCCAGGAATTAAGAACAGTGGGGGATTATTAGGCAAATTCACTCAGGATGTAAACACCACCAGTGAAGTACCAGCACTTGGAGAGGTTTGCACATACTGGTGGCAAACTGGATTCACCAGAGACCAACATACAAAAAAAGGACCTATGGATAAATAGCCTGAATTTAAACTGACTCAGGGCCTTCTTTCCAATCCAGCAAACTGACAAAACCTTCTGTCCAAGGGGGAGTCCCAATCCTTACGGAAGGGTCTGAAGGACTGACTCCTGCCAAAGCTCCTTCTAGCGTCGGGGGGAGGGGAGTGACTTCTGTTAAGTTTTTTTTTAAGCATATGTGTAGGTTTATTGTTTATATGTTTTCTCTATAATTGCTTTTACCTTAAGAATAAACGTGCTTGCTTAGAAAGACCTGTGTGGTAATTTATAGTGATGGTCAATTATGCAGTTTACAGAATCTGAAGAGAAAGCAAACCACAGGTCCTGGCCATTTAGGCTATCTGGCTTGCTGAGAACAACAGTGTAGGCAAGGAACTTTGTAGCCTGCAAAAAACCCTAGTCAGTAGGGAAAGAAATATAGGTCTCCGCCCAAGAAAGATGACAGCAAGGGAGCTGGAGGCCTAAAAGTAGGAGCCCTTGCTGCACTATGTGGGGAATACAGAGCTGAACTTTGAGATGTAATATATAGCATAATAGCACAGAATATTTAAAAGTTGTCTACATGTACTTCAAACAAATCTAATTTGCCTACAGTTACTTTTTGGGGATGTTTTTGGAATGCTACACAATATTCTTTGTCCCCCAAATCTCATATATGTCATGTGAAGTTAGGCTCACAGATAGGATTTGCAGGGCTCAGGAAATGTAACAGAAGCACCCCCACAGCCACATGAGACCTATAAGGGCTACAAGATAGATTTTTCAGTGTAGGCTTCCTTGTCTATGCCCATTTCTCTATTCTTGCCTAAAACAGAAGGGTTAAGGGACCATCTCCTTCCATTCTGCCATCCCAAAAACAGCACAAATTAAAAAGCTACAGATCAACAGTGGGAAAAATCAAAGCATAAAACATACAAATATATTCAAATCCACCCTCTTCATACAGTTTTAAACTCCTCATAGCTCCTGATTCCCCTTCTACTCCCATCTACTTAACCTCTTCCAACCCATCTCTTCTCTTTCATAAATAAAGCTTTCTCCATCTTCTACTGACCAGATCACATAACCATGTCTACCATTCTCCCTAATCATTATGTGAGCCCATGTTGCCCTTCCCTTCTCCTGAACCACACTTCTCTCCCTCATCAAGACAATAAGTCAACTGTACAGAAGAAATCTGCTCAAGTATTTTACACCATTTGGAATCAAAATTATAAAAAAGATAGGGAGGGGTCACCTCTCACCTAGTTCTTAATGAAAAAATAAGTAAAATGCTTATGACAATTATACCAAAGTTCTCCTTAAAATATATATATATTTTAAATCCAGTTTAACAAAAGCTAGTCATAGCTGGATTTTAGTTGGTCTCAAAACATATCACAGTATTCTCATATTTGTGAGTGTCTCATGCCAGAACAATTAAAGCCTCAGTTACAAAGCTGCTCTAACCATCACGATGCGTTCTATGGCCAAAAATTAAAGATAATTTCCACAAACTTTTCTTTGTTAGCCTGAGGGCACTCCCTTAAATGCTGTTGATTCAGTTACATTACAGAAACTGGGGAATTTGATTAGCTCTTCTAACATTTTAGGTTAAAAGAGAAGGTTAGAACTGCATTAGTAGTGAGTCACTATTTCCTTTCTGAACACTATTTTTCTCAATTATGAAGCTGCTTAAGATACTCCGACTTTTAAGCAGTGGAATTTTGAGGACCTTCTGTCTTTATTGGAATTTGTCAAGTTAGAGAACATTAACTTGAATTTAATTTTTTTCTTTTAAATCTGACTTGTATTTATCTACTTTCTCAAGCATAAATCACGGTTCATATTAACAAGTGTACTTTATACAATCAAATTAGAAACATGCCCAACAAACTGATGTAGTGTTTACATTAGTATAGTTTTACCATGTTATATTACATCTCACCTTACATATAGTAGTTCTTAGAATTGTATTAAAGCAAACTAATGTTCAGAGATAAGTGAGTTAAAGTTTTAGTTAAAACAGATGTTTCATTAACAGTGCAGAGGTCAATGTGGTGTGACGTATCTCAGATACTGTACAGACGGACACACTAGGAATACCTAAATAAACAAAACACAGCTGAACAGATCTGTTAGTCTTCTCTGCATCAATCTTTACTTGTCCTCAAACATCCCTCATCATTGACTCCGCAAAGGCACCTAAATTGGAGTCCTTTTGCTTGAATTACTGAAAATTACTTACATCAGAAATTAAAGAATCATGAAATAGGTTTCAAGATTTAGTTACACTAAAGAACTAACTACCCTTGTTTTAAATTTTCCTGCATAAATTATTTTTGTCTCCTTTATTTTCAGTTTTTGTCACACATTAGGGCCTGGGCAAGTTGAGATGGTATGCTTGTTATTACACTGACCTATAACTTGGTAGAAAATTTCAGTGAAATAGAAATTTAGGTACAAGCAACTTCCACCAAGCACTTAGGAACATTTGTTTGCAATAAGAGGCCTTGTTTGAAACTGTTAACAGCTGCATTTCCATGTCTTCCTGAACTTTTTCAACAGGATCAAGGAGATTTTCTTGTATTTGTTTCTCATGAAACTTGTTTAATTTACTTCTAGGCAAAACATAACTGAGAATGTTTTTCAGAGATTACTGTCTCTTCTTATACAACCTAGCCATTTATGTAGGGCTGAGAGCAATGGAACAGCTTATGAGAGTGCCTGAATTGGTTGCAAGAATAAACTCTTATCTACAAAAACATATGAAATCCCAGAATATTTGAAGACAATTTGGTCGGGGGAAAAGGGGAAGAGGAGGGAGTTTACAGCTGTAAAACAAAGAAAGGTACCACGAATCCTGCCAATGACTTTACATCAACATAACAAATAAAATCATATCTACAGAAACAGAAAACTAAAATACACATTTCCATTCTCCTTTCTGGTTTTACCAATAAAAAGTAAACATTTTCCTTGTTAATCTAGCTAACATTTCAGAAAAAGCTATGTTTTTACACTGATATATTCAGCACAAAATTTACATTTTAAAAAGGAACACCATCAACTTAAAAATTATCTATTAGTGTTATAGGATTTCAGCTGAAGGTTAGTGGAAAAAATA